CACTACAGGCAAGGCGATGGACCAATAGGCGAAGAACCCCTTCCAGAAGGCTTCAGCTCAATCCCAGGCTAGCATCATACACCACGGCAGCTGTTTCAGGAGGGGAGGTATCCGGGAAAGGTAAAACATCAAGGAGAACCATTATTTTAGCAATCAATTGATTATCTTCGATCGTGCATTGATTTCGAAGGTTCCGGAACCTTCCATTCCTTCACGTGATCGCCAACATACGGAGGTTTGGCAGTGAGGCTACTAATTTTACCAGTTGATTTTCGTTTTCTAGAAGCCGATGGTCATTGAGCCCCTTATATATTTGGCATAGGTCTGGCGTAGTTGTACAGCGTTTTGGCAGCATTTTTGGCTACGTTGGCAGCTTTCTTGTTAACACGTTTTTCGTGGTCAAGATCGTTGGAATTCTGAATTATCTTCGGCTAGGCTAGCATTTTTGCGGAGAAAATTTTGGGTGTTTAATTCGGAATCGCCAGAAACAGTGAAGATCTAGCAGAAGTTTACGTGGCACGTTACACATGTGAGTGCTTTTGCTTGATATCCAACAGTGTTGGTACAGGTACCACGTGTTGATTGTTTCGGCGTTATGGTTAACCCGAGACAAGGATGGCGAGCAGTTATGGAGCACATGTCATTGTTGAAATTTGCGAAATTTAACGGTCATAACACAGGTATTTATGGCCGAACAATTAAACTGAATGACTTCAATATTTTCACGATATGATTTCACTGCACTGAGGAATACGTGAAAGAATCCTGCGAACACAGCCAAGAGCGAGCAATGTCTCCCACCTTACTGCGCAGACCACATATGTGAACGCGAAACGTGTCAACTACTTAAGCGGAATATGGTGTGTGTTTGTGTTGGAATGCATGACACGGCACAAAACGGGCGAATGCAGACTGTGGCTGTGATGATGCCAGCCTATCTTCCCCTGATTCGATTCTAACGATGATCAGCAAATCGTTCCTACATGTCACATGCGAGCCGTCTTGAGCCCCAGAAACAGGGACTAAAACCAGGAAAGCTTTCGCAAAGCTTCCTTCATCTCTTATACGGTTGGAACTGAAGGTTAACAACCACCAACAAGCCATTGGAATTCATATCACTGCGTCAAATGGTATATCATCATGGTCTTCCGGGACCAGCGGTTAAAGGTCATCTGAGCCATCTCCAGTGTTCTTGTCGTCCGTGCTCTTGACCGTTTGAATTGGGGAGTTGATACAGCCCCGGAATTCTTTTGGGATAGCTTCCGCTGCGTTCTTTATCTTGCTGCATCAATTAGCCATACTGATTGCTAGCTTGTTACAAATGTCCTAGTTATTCCGACTCTTAAAGTCGAAACGGACCATAGGCCGTTTGCTAGAAGTAACCCGCGCGCACAGTAACCGATTGACTTCGGATGAGCACAAAGTAAGAGACTGAGGCTGCTAGCCTTGTGTACTCGTTAGCTTAGACATGGAAACGAAATGCGCAGGACAGCACTTTAGATCCAGAAAAGCAAGCTTAGCTGATAGCAAAAGTGTGTTTACTGACTCAGACAAAAGTGGGAATGCTTTCTACACATTCATGTATATGACTGAATAGCATAGCAGCGTAAGACGTAAACTGTGGGGAGAAATGAATGTCCGTACATCACATGATTTGTCAAGTGATGACAGTGTCACTGAGGAGACCTCTGTTGATGTCTGTGGGGCATGGGACGTTACATAAAGCAGCGTCACTGAAGAGGGATTAAATGAAACCTTCGCGGTTGTGTTGACACAAAGCAGCGACGTCAATGGGTCGAGCTGAGCGGTAACCGTCGCACTTTGGTTCGACGCATAGAGGCCGCAGGTCGGAGGCTGCTAGGGAGGCAGATTCAAGTGTACTGTGCTCAAGTTTGGTGGATTTATGCGTGTTCTACACCATAACCGAATCGTTATGTTGACATTGTTGTACTGTTCTCAAGTTCGCCTACGACTACTTTCGCTGTTTTGACAGAAATGAACCATCCTGGCAAATTGCTCATGTCTTAAAAAGCATGAAATAGCTTTCTATTTGATCAGACGAAACGTAATCATATTGGGAACTTCTCACACCACCACCTCACCGGGTTGCTTTCTTTCTCCACATCTTCAGATGTGCAACGTTGTCCAAACCACTCGAGGGAAACCCCCACGTGCGCTTCAGCGTTGGTGCAACCGATGGTAGCTGGGATCACTCGTGGGCCAGGTTCCTTCGGATGGAACGTTCCGTGTTTGCAGAGGTGAAAGCTGAAAGTTCATTTGGAGTGCACAACTTTCACTGGGATGCGATTTGGCGTGAGATTGAAGCCAAAGGTAACATGAGTCGCCGCCCCCTTTATCCTCATGACGTACTACTATCTAAAGGTTTCCACTTTCATTCATGTCATCTGACTACCTTTTCCCTACTTTCCATCTTGCTCCATGGTATGGCGTCTAGCTTATGATCTCTAGGCCCTCAGCTTGACTTTGTGTAGGTAGGGCCAACATTGTAGTATCTGTAGCCTGCGCGAGTGATTAGAGGCACTTGTGTGGCGGCGGAATGGCGGCAAAATATGCCGGCTTACTGCCGAGGCCTACTGTTACGGCGCTTACCAATATAGCGTGCCTTCCTGCGTACTTGCTTCCACTTTCGTTCTAAGCATTTGCTTTGCCACTTGTGTGCCGGTGTTTCATGGTCCATGGAAGCTTGGGCCTTTGCCGAGTATGTTACACACTATTACCTGTGCCGGCCCGTAGCCTAGAGATAACTAGCTTGTGTCCTACTCTTGCGGCGCGGGTTTGAGCCTGCATAGGGGCAGGGCGACCCTCGCGGTATCCTTAGCTCGCGTGCGGCCGGTGGCGGTTGCGCGGCAGCGAAGCGTCAGTACTGATTGTCGACGTACTGCTGATGCCCTACATGGGCGAACACAGTTCCATTAACTAGTCGACCGTTGTTTTGTAACTTCAACGGTGTAGCATACGTTTCAACGTAGTTCAGTTCAATACAATTGAACGACTATGACCCGAGCACTGGAGTGCGGTGGGTCCGGTTACCACGACACACATTACAAGAATAACAATAACTAACAACGGTTAGATGGTGGGGTTAAATGCAAGTGTAATGTAAATAAAACGGAAACAAGCAGGAGGTGCGTTAGACTATTCAGAGTGTAACGAAAATTAGCAACCAGATTCAAGAAATTGAATGCCAGAACGCTACTGACTGCGTGACTGCGCCGTGTCTGATACGGTCTCTAGCCATTGGTGTGGACCATCCTGCACCCCCCATCCAGGAAGACGGCACGCACCAGCCGGACCAAGATTCTCCGTCAATTTTTTCGAGTTGCTATTTCACCTCTTGCTTTCTCCCGACTTGGTGCATCCATGGCGTGTAATGCATACCGAGGAAACGGATCAACGAGCATACGGAGAACATGTTCTAACAAACACTCGTGTGAGGCATCAGAAGGCTTCTTACCAAAAACTAACTGGTGTACCTCAGGATCGATCACCGGGTGTTCCCACCAAACGTGAACAATACTGCGCAAGCATCGGTAGTCAGACACGGCGAAGCGTTTAATGTATTCATGGCGAACTGGGCTGGTCTCTTATTCGTACAGTAAGACCGAACTTACCGCAGCGTTATACACCCTACATTTTACAGACAGGCTGACATCCCACCGTTTCTATAGATTGTCAAGCCTCTAGAAAAATACGTGGGTCTCGCTGTTACGCGAGCTAGCCTCCTCAATGATGTGGCCACCAGAGGTGACACAGCTAACAAGGTAAGCAAACCGATCCACCATTTACAGTGGCTGTTACTTGATACCCATAACCGGAGGTGTATCGACCCAGTCGTGCAACACCACATTGCACTTTGAAGGTGCAGTGTTTGTATAGGCAACGCATCAGATCCAAGGAGAGTTAAATCGTCAGCATACCGAAGATTTCTCAGTTAGTCATCTAATAGAACTTCCACTCCGATAGAGCCTGAAGCAACCGAGTCATTCATGATCATTTCGACCACAAACTTGCAGAGAAAACTAGATATATAGAATAACTCTGGCGAACCCCACTAGTGGTTGTGAATTTTATTGAACAGTTTTCTCTAAACCTTTACACCACCTTTTGGTATCACAGTAGTCTTCAGAATGGAAACACGAGTTCAGCTGATACGCTCTTCATGGATAAGAAATATCACAAACTACCGCGCGGTCAGCAGAGTCAAGGAAAACCACCATAGTCGGACATTTCTATGTGTCTCTGCTGTGAAACTTGGCGAAGAGTAAATATGTGGTCGATGCAACCACAATCAGGGCTTTCAGTGATGCGGTCCTCACAGTGATCAATAAGTCGTCGAAGAATGATACGCGTGAGAAGTTTTGAGGCATTAGAAATAAGGCTAATGTCTCGATGATTTTCGCACATAACACGCTGACCCTTCTTGAATATGGGCATGACCGTTGATAGTCGCCAGTCAGTAGGCACTTCTTCAGTGTCCCAAATCGTGTTAAAAAGAGCACTTCCGGTTAACAAAATCACCACCATCTTTCAGCAAACATGAGGGTCGTCGCGTCCCGGAGCGTGGTTTCCTTTTAACACGGCGAGCCCATGTCGAATTTCTTCCAAAGTGGAAGATTTGACGTCCATTTCCCACGTCGGCTCAGGGGATTCAGCAGGCGGCAGTGTCACAGTACGCCTGCTGAACTGCTATTCAAAATGTTCAGCCCAACGAGCTAGTCGACAATGCTGAGAATGGATCAGTTGTCCATCTTCCTCACCTGTTGTTACGCTAATTGCTGACTTTCTTGGACCCGTGTTCCGGATGAGCTGGAATAGCACTCGGCTGTTCCCCCATAGCACTGGCTTTCTCCATCTCACCGGCCTTTGCAATCCACCAACATCCCCGGTCGATTGGAAAAGTCCTTGTCAGACGTTTTTTCGTGGAGTTTCAGACACTCCGAAACTCAGTTCCCATTGGAACCTATTTACGCATTTCGATTAAGCTGTTGGATGCTTCAGAGACACATTCACGTTTTAACTGGGGTGCACGGCAAGTGTCAAAGGCATTCTTCACGGCGCACTTGAGTCGATCGAAGTCAGCGTTCTGCTCACCAACTTCATTTATTACTAACAATTGGTGGGCCAGTTCGTTATGATATTGTTGAATCTCAGACTGTGTTGATCGTTTTTCCGAGCTTGATCAAGAAATCGCATACGTGTTGAAGTTACAGGTAAGAAGATTAGATGATAGGCGCTTCTCTGAAGCTGGATGAGTGAGCGCAGAGTGCGCGCACTGGAGCATGGTCCGAACCCAGTCATGTGCTCCAAATTGACCGACAGTCGACTGTATCTTATGGCAATATGGTCAATTTGGATCACGGTCATTGCGAAATTCGGTGTGCACCAGGTGGCGCTGTGTCAACGTTTGTGCTGGAATGCAGTGCTGCTAAGGTGAAGGTTGTGGTGAACGCACAGTTGCAGGAATCGATCACCAATGTCTGTTCGGCGTGCATCGACTCTGAAGCAGCCTCCCAATTGTTGTTCAGAATCTGAAAGACAACCCACTTGATCATGCAAGTCGCCAGCAACAATCACGATGTCGGTATCCTACGCCATACAGAGAAGAGATGAAAGATGGTAGAAGAAATCATCTTTGTTACCCCCGGAATTGCATTCAGTAGGAGCACAAATGAAGGCGATGAAAAAGCACCTAACCTTCATACGGTGCTTATTAACTCCAGTAGAGGTTTGACGTCGAATCACACACATGCGGCAGTTCACCGGTGTCTAGTTGAGTAGATTGCTTTCAGCATATTCACTGAGGGCGATACTGACACCGTGAATAACTTGGGCCATTGACTCAGTATCAGCAGAGGCAAAGTGTGTAGTTATTGTCATCAGAGTCAGAACCAGAGAGTCTAAGATTCGTCCCAATACTCTTATCTTGTATGCATGTTTCGGTGACTCAACACAATACAAAGGGAGTGGAGAGTGAGTTAGTGCTGCCCATTGTCTGATCTGACCCAGTGTTCGTGAGTTAACAGTCGATGTGAATTGAAATTGTGGGATTGATGGGGTAGCTACATGGATTAATTGCAGTAGCCGCGAGGTCAGCGGTAGGGAAGAGTTGAGACGCGAGGGAAACACGAGAACAAAACGTGGGAGTATTGTCGACTAGGTCGAGAGGGCACATGATACTCTCCGATTGCACATTTTGAAATATGGGTTTTATACGAGGTGCCCTACCTCTAGCCTTTGACTACAAAGTAGTGGGGTACATGGGGATTCGCTTGGCGGACTTCACCCGGAATTTTTAGCCCAGTAGCCTGACTCACAACGCAGTGGGCAACAAGTTGAGCTCGGAAATGTGATTGCAGAGACCCACTGGGATCTGCTTGAGGACTATTACACACGGCCTTTGCAGATTTAGAACAATGTACATGTGTTTCTACGACGGTAGTATGTTACGGAACTGCGACCATGGCAAGCCGCAGGTTGGAAATGGTGAGTTTGCACCAATTGGACTAGGGGTTGCCTGACTTGAAGCGGGCGGTAGCAAATTATTGAGCACCAGGTGGTACCATCTCATCGTCACAGACACTGCGTGGCGCTCGCGCTCTACGCCAATCAAGCTGTGAGCTTATAACCCGTAGACCTGTGTCTTCAGAGAAAAGTGTTATTGACCTCTTCCTAATCTACTAAAGGATAGAATTGTGAAACTGAGTTAGTCTGACCTGTCTGGTGTGGGTGGCTCTGAAGGCACTTGGGAAGTAGTACCACCCAGCGTTGTTCAATGGGTCACGTAAACAAACTATCGCACCACGTTAAGATTCGGCCTCTTGCGTTTTCAAGAGTTTTTTTTAAAAACTATCAATCTGGATCCGTCAAGTGTTTGAGACGTATTCATTGTGCACGGCTTCTTTGCTGTCTCTCGCCCTAACTAGTTTGTCCTTGTTTGGCTTTCTCAAAATGTTAATTATGGGATTTCAATTCGCTGTTCTTTCTCACCTCTGCTCACAGACAGCAGCACTCCGTGGTCCGTGCGGAAGGAGAGTGGTCCAGCTCTCAAGCTTGGCCTTCAGCATACTTTTGAGCGTGATAGCCGCTCAGACTCTGTGTTTCCCGAGTCGGGATTCCTGTGTCGTCTTTCGAACGAACTATCGACAATTACTCCCGGAAGCCCTACGGGAGATGACACTCCGACGTGAGTCCATTCCGGTCTTTTTCGACTATCGCTTTGCCCGTGTACCTACGTCAGTCACCGTCGGTCGTAACGTTACGTTTCACGTCCTATTTTGCATGTCTCGCATTCCACACTGTCTTCAAAGCAGAAATGCTGCGTGCGTGTGCCTGCTTCCAACTACTACGCACCCTTTTGGCACTGTAATGTTACTGTATTATGTATGCTACTGTTTCACTGAAGTCAGTAGTATCATCTCAACTCGAAGGCTAGAGATTACTTTCCCTTCCGTTCATCACACGGAGACATCGGTCTCAAGTTTCCCCTCCACTCTTTCGTCACTCGATTTTCCATTCTTTTTGCGCCCTTTGTCTTAGAAACAATGCGAGTTCTGCTCAGTATCGGAGAACAATTTGGCTTACACTCTGGCATCGCCTTCGATTGTCCTCACTCTTGTTTGCTATTGATTAAGCAATTCGGCTGGCGGTCCTTTGTTTTTAGACTTTATGTAACTTGATCTTGTACACTGTTTGATATCTTTCACATATAACTCACCCTTCCTCGACGTCGTTTATTTCACCGGTCAGCAGCGTTGAGGAAAACAGAGCGTTACAGTTCAAAATGGAAGGCGTGGCGCAAAAACCATTCCGCCTTACAGACTGGCTTGTAGGAGAATTGACCTTCTCATCCGGTCTCACCCATTCCTTCACTTCACATCCTGTGAGTGTCATTTCCTCTGACGTGTTGCTTGTTTCCATTCACCTTAGTCTGTTGTTTCGGTCGTTTCTTTCTATCTGTGTTTTTCGTTTCCTTTGGGCTCTCTGCATGCAATCACTGGTTAATCTTTTAGCTGAGACAAATTATTGTGGCTGAAATTATAGTTTACTAGAGGTCATCTGTCTCTCATCGTTGGATGGCAGGTGATTGTACAGCACAGCTCCACTGATATCTTGCTACCTATTTCCTCTTCCTCTAGCGGTGAACGATGTATTTCAAGGTGAACAGTGCGCCTGGGAAAACGGAGCGTCGAATTTTGAATCATTTTGACAGCGTATACACTGTAAATCTCTGCCACAATCCTGACGGAACACGTTGTTTTTAAGTATGCAGTAACATCTTTCTACTAATCAGTAATATACACTAACCGCAACAGTTAGAGTCTACTAACTAGATATGGCTGTAGTGGTAGCCATTATTATTTCTGTTCCTGCACAAAGTTTTGGATTGATAGTTCATTTTCGCCTCTCACTTTGTGGACAACTGCTAAAGTATCGACTTGAATGTAGCTTGCCCATTGAACAGCTTCGCATTTTTTGATCGATCCGTGGATTTTCTACCGCAACGCTCGCATTTCTTGCGGCCGTTAATTAACTAAAACGGCTTGTCTTCTTAGAGAAAGACAACCGATATATTTTTTGCGATATTTCATGGACCATTTTTCTAATTCTGGCGTAGTTCGATAAGCATCAACCTCATCAACAACAGTGCTCCAGCCATTTGAGCTGATGCTTCACTGCCATACGACCATAATGACCTACAGAACGAAGAATAATTGGAGGAGAAGAAACGGAACTTACCGAAAACCCTTAATGCTTTAAACAAGCATTTACAATTACGGCGCAATCACGTCGTCAGCAACACCATCACAAACAGCTGGATATTGGCCAATATAAAGTAGCATCGGCAAGACAGTTTCCTTTCGGCTTTCATTGTCCCATGTCATAATCAGCCATTACCCCGCAGATAACTCAGCACCAAACACACTGTAGACAGGCAATCCGACTAGGAGACGACAACAGACGCGCCACTGGTGCTGTTTGCGGACCATATCCTGTAATGTCTCCAGCCAAATACCAGGCGGGTCTGTTGGACTCCGGCCTCGAAGGCGAGACGGACCGATAGCACTCATTGGCCGTCAGTGACTTCATTTTCCGTTGTCAAATCAACTTTTATTCACCTCGAATCTTGCGCCACCATACATCTGGTAGACAAAATAAGGCTGTCCTCGGTAAGGGGTGACCGGGCATACGTAGTACGTGCCCGAGCCAATGCAACTTATTTAGTGCTACATGTTATTCTAAGGAACTAACTTAAGTATCAGTAACTAACACTCGCCTCCGCACGTCATCTTTGCGGAGACGCTGGTGCTATCCGACACAAGCAATGCTTCTCAGACAACGGTGATCAAGGACTTGAAGACGCCTCAGAACTTCACACCGTAGTCATCATACACGTTAGCCAGAGGCGGAAACACCTCAGCTACTGTGCTGAAATACATTAAAGTAAAGGGAAAAAATACATGCACCAGATGCGTGCCAGCTGAGCTACCAATAACGGATGGGCATCGTTCCGGAAAGCTACCAGCCGATTACTAAATAACAAAAACATCCAAGGGCCAGGTCTCAATCCCATAGAATAGGACGGCCCTCACTGTGGCCTTGTAAACACGGCCTTTCAAACGGAGGGAAATCTATTTCTGTCGCCAAAGTTTTCACAGATTCAAAAGGGCAGTTCTGGCTTTTGCATTACGCAAACTGACCTCAATAGCTATGTACCCATCGTTGCTAATACAGCTGCCAAGGTAAGTGAATTGATCAACTACATCGAGTTCCTCGCCATCAGTGGGTCATTAAGTGGCTGGGGGTACTACAACAATGGTTTGCACTCTGAAGGCGTGAAGCTCATACCGAATAATGGGATCACTCTAGAGAGGCTATTCAGGGTTCTTAGTGTCTCCAACATCGTAAAACAGTAAAACGATATCATCCGCATAATCATCAGGCACTATATAAACGTACCCTTCGGGTGATTCCGCAAGAGAACACCCCATGATAGAGTTCACGACGAAATCGAAAGAATGGGGAAACTGGACAACCCTGACGAACACCACTTGTTGTCGGAAAGCTATCCGATAGGTCTGTAGTGTTCGAATACAGAGCAGGTCAAATATTCACACATTTCATGGGAACACCTTTCCGCGCAAGTATTTCGAGCAGAATGCATCAATTGTCTTAATAGAACACACTCTTGAAATCGAGGAATACAGTTATTGTCGGCCTGCGGTATGCGTGGCGCTGCTCTATCACCCCGCAAAGTGAATATGTGGTCTATACAGCGGAGACCTGCCTGCTCTTCTTTAATCTGGGATTCCACTTCCTCAGTGAGGCCATGAACGAGAATTGAGTCCGGTAATTTTGTCACAACTTGCATTAGGCTAGTACCCATGTAGTTAGCACAATCGGTGCGATTACCCTTCTTGTAGACTGCTACTGTGATCGATTTACTCCAGTTAGCCCGGACGGTCTCTTTCACACCTGTTCGAACAGAGTTGTCAATGCTTTGCAGAGGACCTCGCCTCCATCCTTAATTAATGCAGGTGGGAGGGAATCCGGGCCGGCAGCAGGAAAACGATTGAAGGCTGCGATCGCGTTTCGGACCTCAGCTTCCGGTGGAGCCTTTAAACTAACTGTCCATGGCTTATCCTGCATCATCTGAGTTGGAAGAAGCCCGGAAGCTGGGTATCAACTGAACTGCTCCAAACAAGCCATTTGGCGCTCCTTATTGTGAATCAGAGCACTTGTCCTGTCTCTGATTCTTTCCCTGACGCTTGCTTTTCCGGGGCCAGTGGTGCGGATCAGCTGGAAGAGTTTCCAATGGTTCCCTTCTTCTCCTGCCATCTCCATTTCTTGAATCCGACTGGTCCACTAGGCTTCCTTGTCAGCGCGCAAGTTCCGCTTTAGTTCGCATTGTGCTCAGAGCCAGCCGAGATGTTTCTTCTGGATTCCAATAGGTTCACCTACGTCTCTGATATCCAATGACTAGTCATCATCATCATCATTATACACGTCAGCTAGAGGTGGGAAACACCTCAGCTACTGTGCCACAATACATAAAGGAAAAGGAAAATAAATACAACCGTCGCATGCCAGCTAAGCTACCAGCAACGGATAGGCATCGTTCCGGTAAGCTACCAGCCGACTACTAGGCAAAAAGAAAAATTACTATGTTTTACGCTACGAAATGAGATCGTAGGTGGAGGGTGAAGGCCAAAAGGGATGAGGAGGGACAAAGAAACCCACTGCAGGAACACCACTGACGTCGGCTCCATGCCGCCACCAAGGGTCAGCGCAGGGAGCAATCCCTGCCAATCTTGGAGGAACGCTTTGTATTTCGATGGTGTAAAGCAAAGCCCGAAGCGGCTGACAGCCAGTACTAATCTGTCCAGCGCGGCTTGGCACGTCTGGAAGCTGTGACAGATGAGGGTAATGACTGGTACTGTCATGATCATCACCATCATCAATGCACGTTAGCTGAGGGCGAGAAACACACCTCAGCTAATGTGCCGCAATGCAAAGAGATCACAGTATAAAGATTCAAACACTGGGTAATATAATTTTGCTTATTGTATCACATGTTAGGTATGAGATCGTGATTGGAAGGGGAATCTAAAGAAGATGTGGATGAACAAAGAAACTAACAACACCAGGTTCTTCGCCATAGCAACAAGTGTTCCCAACCAAATGTGTTCCTCGCCCTTTGGACCCCAGCCTATCAGTCGGGATGCACCAACCGACGCCAACTTCGAAGTGAGGATTTTCATTCTTATTAACCAAGTCATCGCTTGGCATCCCGTCCTGTTCTTCACTCCAGAGCCCGGACGAGCAAACAACGCATGTAGCGGGAGTCGGTGGGCTGGCGTGCGCAACACGTGGCCCAGCAATCGGAGCCTGGTGCGTGACATAATGGTGCTGAGCTGTTCACTCGCTCTTCCTGCACCAAATACACGACGCCAAACACACTCATTGCTCACGCGGTGTCCCACCAGATGGGAGCTAAGCTGCAATGGCAGCGATGGTCGAACGTGGCTAGCCTCTTTATGTCTGTCGACCTGATGGGCTGACTTTCACAACTGTATTAAAAGCTTGAACGGGCGGCTGCATTATAAACTCTGCCCTTCTGGGTGAGAGTGATGTCGCGTCTGCGCCACAGGTGGCGGATATTTGCAAAAGCACTTCTAGATTTCGCCATACGGTTTGTGACCTCATCTTCGATCCCACGGGCGCTAATATAGCTGTCCAAATAATTGAATTCCTGAACGACTTCTAGCTAATCACCACCAAGATTCAGGGGTGAGCCCCTGTCAATCTTGGAGAGGTACTTTACACTTCCACGGTGCAAAGCATAGCCCAAAACGATTGACATCCAGTGCATATCGGTCCAGTGCTGCTTAGCACGTTGGGGGCTGTCACAGATGAGGGCAGTGTCGTCGGCATACTCGGTATCAAGTGATCACTCACCAGCAAGTAGCTCCATATCTTGTAGGTCGTGCCCGACGAACGCCGCTTCCATGACTTCGTCAATGTCGAAGTTGGAGAGGAAAGATGACATTGGGCAACCTTGTCTCGCACCGATTCGGATATGAAAGGGCAGCGACACTTTGCCATCAATTCTTACTCTGCCCGAACTGTGCGAGTACAGCGCTCTGACAGTGTTTACGTATATATCATGCACACCTTTTCTCAGCAGACAGTTCCAAAGAGCACATCGATCCACCGAATCGAAGGCTGTTTCTATTTCCGGAGCACGATGAGACCATCACACTTCACGGTCTCTCTTCATGCTAGCATGGAGTTTTGCCATGAGGTTTGCAATCGCTTCCAACTGAAATATGTCGGCGAACATCCAAAAATTCCAGTGACTTCTTAGAGACCCAGTGTCCA